CCAAAGGCCCGCGGTTGTTGTTGTTGTTGTTTGTCACCTCATTAGCTTGAATATTGAAACACAATAAATTTGTCAGGCTATCCTAAGATATCCAGACATATCACCATGTTAAAACGCGCTATAACGTAAAAATGATGGATGAGACCCCTCAAGAATAGCGACTGTCTGGTGACATCATGAAAACACTTCTTACGTTTTCGAATTAGGTTTCTAGACTTATTTCAGAAATAGTTTTGCCTGGCATTGTGCTTTCCTTTCGTTGAACGATATGAAAATATATTCTAATGCTGTACAAGAACCTTCTCGGACGCATGTGGCCCTTGCACAGGTGGCCGTACCCGGGCCGGCTCAGGCCGATCTGTAAACTTGGCCGTGGGCTGTGCGGCAGGCGCGGATTTGATTCGGCCTGTGCAGAGCGTGGCGCGCGGGGCAGGGGCCGCGCCGTCGGCGTCCCGCTGTTTAATAACGTCGGATTAAGTCCGCAGATGAATCGGTACCCGGAATTAAAATGATACCAACCCTTGTAGTACAATCAAAATGTCAATATAGATGATTGCTGTGTAGTTTTAATAAAAGGATCGACCGCACCTCGCCGTTCGCCGGAGTGTAGACTGTAATTGGCTCCGGATTTCGCGAGGTATTGCCAGCAGTCGATACGGCGAGGCACAATGACGCTGCCCTGGGGCACACCCGGACGACATCCCGTCTGCTGCCGGCCCGGCCGCGTCCGACGCCGGCGTAAGTTGGCGAACCAGCCAGCTGTTGGCACGCAGTAATTACTGGCTTGGTGGCTGCCGACGGAGACGACACGAGGCCCGGCCGGCCGGAGCGGACGCGACGTTCCGACGGCGCGCCCCTCGGCCGACTCCTAATTTCGAGAGTTTGAAATGAAAACAACAGTGAAGCGTGAGGCCCATCCCTTTGTAGGCGCCAGCGTGGCCCTGTGTTATTCTATCTCTGGTCCCTCTACCCCAGTTATATAATGTCGTTTTTTTGTCGGCTCCTCTCCCCTCGTTGGCCGTGGGGATGGAAGTTTTATTCGCCCCTATCCTTACCTTAATCAGCATATTCTAGTTGCCGCCTGTCATAAACTAACAATGGCCTGCGTTCGAAACTCTTTAGCCGATCACGTGTCGGGAAAATGGACGAAATGATTGTCCGAGAGCGCGTCATTGTGCTCGTCACGACTGTGCGTGTGAGTGGCAGAGGGGGTCGGGCGAGGGGCCCCTGACCCGCTTTGAAGACAGCGCTCTGCCGGAGCCGAATGCGCCGCTTTGTTCGCCGTCGATCACGTGACTCCGGTCGGGCCACGGCCGAGGCGGTCACGTGACTGGCGCCGACCCGGCTGTCGGTAGCAAGCGTGCAGCCACATCGGGCTGCTGTGTGAACACTAATGCGAATATGCCTCCATAAATTCCGCGTGACGTTTATGGAGCCCGGCAGCACTTGACGACGTCCTGAATACCGTCGTTTCTTTATTTTGAGTATGTTTGGTGGGACTGAAGTGCACCCGTTTTCTCATCCCCTCCCCCGTTCCATGCCTGTCGGCCTCCCAACCGGGTACAAACTTCTCCTCTGGCCTTAGGCATGCTTTTATTGCCTACGCTCACAGGCTCGGGCCAGTCCAGCCTTACTTCAACCCGATCGCCCCAACCGCGAACAGAATGAAGCTGAAATCCGCACTCATGAACTCGCGCGCTTCGGTAAGCGCGAGCACCTTTGAACGTTTCTTCGTAATGCTCGGTTGACAGCCGGATGGTCAGAGGATCGCTCGCTGTGTGCGTCTGAGAGATGACGTCATCCAGCGTAGCTTTGAGCTTAATTGTCTGCGAATGTTTTAATATAGATGACCAGATCAAAGTCGACATTGTGCTGAATTGCATTTCATTCGGTTTTTACAAATGTTCCACTTCTGTCCTGTCATGAGACAGAAAAAGAGACCAAATGTCTTTTAAAGTTCATTATCTGCCAGCATGACAACTTGGCAGTCCATGTTATGCTACAAAAGTGCTCCATGCCCTCGTAGTATCGCTCCTCCCGCGATCTGAACAGCTACTCTGCAGTGATTAGTAGGGAACTGTAAATCCAAGATGTTGTTTTGCACCACGCTATGATGAAACCATAACACTTCCCTTTGTCACAATTCGCCGCATTAAAATATCTGCAACACCATGACCTGCTCCCCCCCCCCCCCTCTCCCGCAGTCCTGCGTCCTCTCTACACTCCACGGCGGTTGCAGGTTCCAGTCAGCGCCGTCTTCCCCGCCTGGCCGGCTCCCCCAGCCGGCACCCCATCGGAGGCCGCCCCAGCCGTCGTGGCCCAGCCCCCGCTGCGCTGGCCATAATGTAGGCGGCCGGGCGTCGCTCCTGCCGGGTGTTGAATTCAATGTTTTAGCGGCGGCGCCGTAAACCAGCATGCATCCCAACAATAACAGCTCTACTAGAAATCAACAGGGAGCGAACGGCGCGGGCGGCGGCCCCTAAATTACCCAGGCGGCCGAGCGGTGGCGGCGGCCGGGCGGCGACACAGCGGCGCGCGACGGGCCACCGCCGTCCCCTGATGAATGGGTACAGGTGAGGGCGCCGCCGCGCCCCTCGCCGGGCGACAAATGCCGACCGAGGGGGCGTGACCTCAGCGGGGTCGGAAGCCTAAACGGTGCCGGTAAATAGTGGCCGTGGCTGGGCACGAGCCGGCGCTGCCCCCTGCAGAGGGGGGCCCAGCCGCAGAGCGGCGCAGATAGCAGCGCCGGGGCCGCACGACGGCGGCAAGGGACGGCGCCGGACTCTGGAGAGGCGCGGCGCGTGAAGGGGACAACTCGTGGATAGCTTTGATAGTATTCATGTATGTAATAGATGAGTACTAACAATAGTGGAGTGCTCATGCTCGCTACAATGGTTCGTGGACGGCGTGCCGGTCAAGATGTTAGAAGTGCGACAGGGCGCGTTTGCTGAGTCCAGTAAACCCGTTGTAATCCGCGAGCCTGATCTTACAAAGACACGACGATTTGCATGCAGCACAAGCCGGCTTGACTTCTCTTTCATTAGCAGCAGGCAGAAGTCACGTGATCCACAGCCCCGCAGCGAGCCCTGCAGCTGGCCGCCGGCCCGGCAGCTGACCGCGCCGGCCGCGTCTCTTGTCCGCCCCGGACCCGAGCGTCGGCCGTGACTCACATCGCCGGCGTCGACACGCGCCCCTTCCCTCCCGCCGGAGCCGATCCAGCCAGGCGCCACGCAATTGCAGACGGCGTCGCGGCCGGAGCAACAAGTAGTCCGGACGGCGGGCGGCGGCGGCGGCGGCGGCGCGCGGCCGCCCGGTTTTGCCGACACGGCGCGGCGCGCGGCGCGCGGCCCGCGGCCGGGCGGGCCCACACGAGCCACGCATTCTTACCAGTGTTACACGGCTTTTTACGGTTGTCACGGGTTTCTTTACGATTGTTAGCCGGTCGAGATGGCAGAGAAAAAGTGGCACCGGCTGACTGTGTAATTGTGCGCGCTGCGGTAAATTAGGGGGTTTTGTTTTTACAGGAATCCATGAGGCGGGGGATTCGATTTGCGGCGGGTGGTGATTAAATGTTTGGCCGACTGTTGCGGGCGGGGCCCGCGCCACGCCGACAAACAGAACAATTTCCCGGCAGGCGCTCGGTCCTGGGAGGCAAGCTCTCCCCCTTCGCCACCCGGTCATTAGGCGGCGACGTGCCGTCCGTCTTGCCGAGGCCGCCACCGACCAGGCATTAGCAGGCGCGCGCGACCCCACCACCGCCACGCATTCTTGATACCGTTCCGAGGTGGAGACGGCGGTTCAACGCTCCGCGAGAGGGGACCGCTGGATTCCACAGATAGCTCAGCTGGTCCAGCGGGATTGCAGGCCCTTGACGGAGGACCCGCTGGATAACTCGGCCGAGGGGATACTGGCTTGGGGTCATTCAGGTGGTCGCAAATACACTTATTTGGCAGCGCAGTGTAGGGGCTACCGTTCGTGCCCTCAACGTTGTTAACATGCATTCACTCGGCAATGAGTGCACGCGTGTTGGCATTAGTCAAGGTGAGAAGTTCATTGTGACGTGCGAATAGTGCAGAGCGCATTTCAGGTGGTCCACGCCCACTGTGCTCGCCTCTCCTCCAAAAACGGTGTGACGTGAACAATGCACATGTGGAGGAAAACAAAACTGAATAATGTGCGTGCTCTGAATCAAGGCAGAGGTGCACTTTGATATCAGCATATTCATTAATGACTGGGGATGCAATGCAAAAATGTTGAAATATATCTTGACAAAGTGATGATTCATAAGACGTTCGCCCATAACCGCGGACGTAACTGCCACCGGTATCGGTGAAGTCTGGCCCCAAAAACTTCGGTACGTTGACTCGTTTTTTGTGTTTTGACCGCAACAAAACTTCACCAAAACATGAATGAGCCCCAGTGGCTTTTAAGGCGACGCTACGTCCATGACTGCACCTTGACTTCAATGGCTTTCAATGCCTACAGTGGTGACATATCTGGTGCATTAACCGGCAAGTAAAAGAGATACGAGAGAGCTTGCAAAATAAATCTACTTCCATTGATTGCTGGCTCCCACCAAACTTTGCACGTTTTTAAGACTTTCGGGTACCCCTGCAAGTGTTTGGCGTGAGTAGATACATCTGAGCCACGAGCGGCGATACAGGTGGTAATTTATGGCGGCATAATTCTACGAGCGCGTGGGGAAGCTGTACATCGCCAGCTTATGCTTCCGACCATCTTATTCCCACGCCTATTGTGCGGATGTGAAAGCTATGGAAACCGCACCGAGCTCCAGGGCCAAATGTCGGAGCCACCAGTGCGCGTCGTCGCTTCCATCGGCCGCGACATCAGCGTTACTGCCACGCTCCCTGCTTCCCCTGACCCCTCTGACTGCACCGAACAGACGCACCGCGCGCCGCCCCGCCCGACAGCCGGGCCCGTGTCAGCGGCACAGTCCTCCCCCACCCGAACCGCACGCTCAGGTCCGTCGTGTGACAACCTCACCTTGCCGTGGTGCAGTCCTTGTAGAGCACGTCGAACTCCTTCATGGACAGCAGCTTGCAGCGGTTGACGCCCGGCTGGATGGCGCCGAGGCCGCGCAGGATGCGCACCTGCTCCACGTTACAGACCACAGGCACGATGTCCAGCCGCTTCAGCTTTGTGTAGACCGTGTGCAGTCCGCCGACCAGGTGCTTCAGGAAGAGCTCGAAGGCCTGCGGCAGGCACAGCATCGTCTCGCCGTTGATGATGAAGGCGGCCACCTTCTGCGCCCGGTAGTCGACCAGCTTGCACTCGTTGGCGCTGGGGTCGGTGGTGGGCAGCGGGCGGCGGGTGAGCCGTAGGCGGGCCGCTCGGCCGGCGCCGGCGGCAGCCCGCCGTACTCGGGCATCAGCCCCGGCGCCAGCATGCCACCCGGCTTGCCGAAGAACGGATACGGCAGCGAGCGCGGCGGCGAGTGGAAGTGCGCCGGCGGCGACTCCTGCAGCCGGCCCAGCGGCGGCGGGCTGACCGCGTGGCCCAGCCGCGCCGGTGACGGCGGCGGCGACGAGCCGGCCGAGCCGGCCGGCGGCGAGCGTTCTCCGTTCTCGCCGCGTCCATACCTGGTGCGGCGGGCTGGCACGCGAGCTGCCGCGGCGTCCGTCCGGCCCCCTGTCCGTGCGTCCGTCTGTCTGTCGACTGCGGGCCGGTGCGCGAGCCGTCTGTCCGCCGTCCGTCAGGCCGCGCGGCAAACAAACAGCGACACGTCTCTCTCACTCACAATCGCCAGTCGAATTAGACCTCAGCAGCGCCACAAAAGTCATAAACAGAAATGTGAGGCAGGCCCGCTTCAGAATCCTGGCGAGCACTGGCGCTGATTGGTCGGCGCGGGACGACACGGTGAAACGCCGCGCGCTGATTGGCTGCCGGCCGGCCGGCCGCGGACAGTGGGCTGTACTTGAAGAATCTATTGTTATGCGTTGGTAAGAAATAAGCAGTCATCAATCTCGAGACCGTCATCTGGAGCTGGAACAGACAATGCTGGCCGGGCGAGAACAATGACAGCCGACAAAAGCCCACGCAAAATGCCAGCCTGGCGGCGGGCCGTGGAAAGTGAGGAGCCGGCTGGGCCCGGCGGGGGCGCGCCAGGCTGGGTGGAGCACCACACACGCCGCGCATCGGCGCGACTCCGGCTGAGGACAGCGCCACCAGCACCTGAGGGCGCGATACCCTCTGGGAGAACATGGCCAGTACGCGAGGTGCGCAGTACGAGGCGTGAAGAACTCCCATTTGCGCTCTGTGATTTCAATGTTTATGCTCACAGCGCGCAATTTGGCGGACTGTAGGTTCGCAGTGAGTGTTTTCGCCTGCGACTGGTGGCGTGTGTTTCGACACCGCTTCAGCGCCGAAGCCTTTTTACTGGTATACTGACCCTGTTGAATTATTGATCGAGTCGCCGGGGCGGGCTGGAAGCGCGCGGCCGCCGCTCGGCGAGAGAGCGACAGCCAGCGCGCGAGAGGGAGAGAGGGCAGGGAGATAATTGGCGGTGGTTCGGCTTTCGCCCGCGGCAGCTGACCTGCGGACCACCCAGCCGACAGCGCGGGTCGGCAGCGGCCGGAGTCGGACCCGAGCTGTCAGCGGCTCACCGGGCCGGCCGCCAGGGAGCAGCAGGCGCCGCCCGCTTCTGCGACCGGCGCCAGGCACTCAACCGGGCGCAGACTTCAGTCAGGCTGCCAGAGTACCTGCCGAAGCTGTTGTCGTGAAGCAAAGCCGCGGCCGATAAGCGTCGTTTTCAAAGCACACCATACTGGGGGTGCGATTTGAGACAGCCTGTAGGAAGTTTTCACCCCGTGATGTGTGTCTGAAACAGCTCAGCTGTCCACACGTTTGTACGGGGTGCCGGAGGTGTAGTGGTTAAGCTGCGTTTCTGGGAAGCTAGAGCTGCGGGGGTCCGCTTTCCCCGCGGTGCCCGCCCTTCACGCCAGGGTGAGACCCAGGCGACGCCACGTGGCCTCAACAGCTGAGTGCGTCGTAAAGCCCAACGACGACGTACACACCTAAGTTTTGGTTTGTAAGTCATTGGTGAGCGGGAAGAATCGGTGGAATGAAATAATTCAGGTCCATTTACCTTATGATGATATATGAAGCCGGTGTAAGTTGTAGCTCTGCTTAATGAAATGAGCGGAGCTACAGATCGTCAGGGTACACACAGACTTAGATGGTGCACAACGACCACACCATCGAACTGGAACGGATTGTTGAAAAGGTAGCCAAACGTCCTGTTGAGAATGTAGCCAAACAATTAACTGAATGTCTGTCAGTCCGACACCGAGCTTATTCCTGCCAGGCCTTTAGACTACCGCTATAAGATTAAACACCCATCCGACCGTCCGACGTTCGTAACATCCTCAGAACGTGTCGGATGATCAGTTTCACTCCTGATCTGTAGCCTGCCCCGGGCTGCCAGACTCCTGGCAATGCGTCGTACTCCCATTTCATTCACCTTAGCATGCTTGCTCCAGGCAATCATGTACCAGTACCTGAAATGTGGCTTACTTACAGCGCTGTGTCCACAGGCCGATTTCTCCCAGGATCTCTAACATTTTGCATTCTTAGACCGATAGAAATTATAATGTATAACCTTCCCCACGTTTTTAGCCCCACCAAGCCACGAAAACAGCCGAAGCATCGTCGCTTCATGTTCGGCTATCCCGCTACGGTCCTAAAACACCGTCATGATAAGGGCCGAACTAGCGCCTACACTCCTTTAAAAAGCGCTCATGTTTTAAAGCTAGCATCTTTATCAATTAAGTCCTTCTAGCAACGCTAGAAGCATCATGACGTGTCTATCTGGTAACACGAAAGTTGGATAAGATGAGACAAAAGCTGTGGAGAACGCTCGGTAGCAAGGTTTGTGCAGCATGCATATTCTCAACCATTAGCGCAATAGGCAGGCTCAGCTGGTCTAGACATCTTCGGCGTGTTCTTGAGCTTTAGCCGCTGGAAGTGCATGACCAGCGATGTGTGGGCTGTTGATTCGTTCTTTATATTCAACGTTGCAGGGAATGTTTTACACTTGAGGATATTGAAGCAAGCGCTATATATGATGAAACAAGCTTACTTGTAACTGTTGGCACACTTGTAAGTGGAAAAGACTGCTCTAGACAGTACAATTCTCTCTTTAGTAAATATGCTCCTCAGTGCGTCATGGTCTGATTACGTCACCGTACCTTGCACAACATTGATTGAGAGCGCATTGACGGCCGTTATATCTGGAGATCGTGTTCACGAACTCGAGATATGAACGCCTCGATAATTCCTTTCTTACCTTCATCGCCGCAGGGCTTACGGAATGGCAGGATTTGAATGGCGTTACTACGACGCCATGAATGCCAAGGTAACTTTGAAATACTCTCCCCTCCCCATGTTTGCGGACGTGTAGCCCAGAAACTAGACGGGCTTTGGTCTTAATAAGGGCATAGTTGTCAACAGCACAGAAAGGTTTTAACACGGCTGTTTCAGTTCAAAACCCCCTACAAATGTGAAACACTCTTTTTAGCGGCAGTGTAAAACCAACCCAAAGAAATGTGTCATTCATTGATTAAAGCAATAGCAGGCGTTTTATTTTAACAATGCTTTATGTTTCCATACGAACTGAGGTAGGTTCGGGAACAGGGAGATCAATGCGTCAAGTTTAAAGTTAACAGCATTCTTCTGGGCTTGGTTCATCCGTGCGAAACAACGCACTGAAATGCGTCTTGGTGCCACTGCACACTTTCTGCAGAATCAGCTGACGCAAAGGCGTCCATCCCTAAGGTGTTAGCAGAAATAAGTCTCTGTAGAATATTTAAGTTGCTTTGAAATTGATAAAGAAATCAAGTGGTTTGTGCTCTAGTATAAGAGAACAGAAGTGAATGGGTACTAGTAGTACTGAGTTGTTCAATGAGCATTGAAACTGCCCATGCTTCGCCGCCAATTATCATCATGGTCTATTGCATTAACAGTGGCGTAACTGTTGTAGCGTTCTGACTCATGTGCAGTTGAAACAAAGCAAGAGGATGAGAAATGAAAAGATAAAAATAAAATGATGCAATATGAAAAAATGAAAAGAGGAAAATAAAATAATGTCAAATGAAAAAAATGAAAAGAGAAATTAAGCATTGCACGCCGTGAAGGAAATCCACGAGACAAATAAGTGCCTGTGATATCAACATTTCTTTCCCTTTGGTTGTGTTGGATCATCGTACATTAGTACAACTCATTGCCAACGTATGTAATAGACAGAAAGATATACAGCAGCGACCGGACTAACGGCAGGATGCAGCGCGCGACAATACCTATCACTTTGGCAAACGTCAGACATAAAAGCTGCAGGCATGCCAAAGAGAGATTTAAGTTTGCATGGGGTTGACACCGTATAGACAGTTCTTGCAAAGGTACAGCAGGTGATAAGCTGCGAAGTTAAATAATTAAATTTGGCGTGGGGGCTCATGTCAACGTGCAAGCGCACAATATACCTATTAGCGCACAATATGCCGCTTGAGTCTACTCAAAGCGATTTGAAATAGTCCTAAACCAAATTGAGTGAGCGTCGAATTATTGTTAGGAGCAAATCACTTTCCTCAAAATTATTCAAATCAAGAATGGATCAAGCGAGTTCGTTTCATCAATTTCCTGAGGAAACAACTTAAGCAGAATGCAGTATCCTGCATTACTCGAATAAACATAATTCGGTTAACTATGAATGCCCGCACAGCCAACGGATTATTTTTAATAGAGTAAACCGTCATAGCAGAAATGTCGAACAGTTAACATGTACCAAGGTGGCTGGTTAGATATCCTTTCGCTTGGAGGAAGACAATTTGACCCCCCTGAGATCTTAGGAACTAAGGAAACGAGAGACACCAAATGCAGAGGGTGCGTTGTCCTGTACGTGAACTCACTTAGGTTTAAGTTTGAGGTTCCTAGGTCATGACCATTGCGACAAATAAGATTAAACAAGGTCAAACTCAAGGTTTGTCTCCAAAGTGCCCCAGAACCTCTATGCCCGTTTAAAGCAAAAGTTTGCATACTCATTTAAGGTCAGTGACCTTGTTTGATCCTGTGAAGGTCATGACGACCAAAATCATACAAGGCCGCTTTGAGTTTTGCATTTAAATAAGCAACAAACATTACGCTACGCAGTATGTTTTTAAAAACAAAATGTTGGGTCGCTTTAGGCCAGTGATCTACTATGACCTTTAATAAGTCAATGGAGGACAAATAATTCAGTTCTTGTTTTCGATAAATTCGAAATGAGCACCAGAACCTACCCTAAGCAGCAAGCCC